ATTATTTTTATATAATTTCTTAAATATCAACCTATTTATCCTTCAAGTATTATAACTAATTATCCTTAATTCTCATTCCCCCACTCTGATTCCCACATATGCGACACGTGACAGCCATTCAAGTCAAGTGAAAATTCGCAGCACATTTTTGGCCAATTGCTGTAAATATTTCCTTTGTATTTTGGCCCAAAATCTGAGATATACAAATCGAGCACAAAATTTCCAATAGTCCTATCTCCCCCTGCCGATCTCTCTATAATGTCCTTGTCCCAACTAAAAGATTTCCGCCTGTCATGGCGGGGTGGAAGTTTAGGTGGGTTGTTGCTTGTTTTGGTGTGTCGATACATCAAAATGCCAAGTGACAAAGTGATTTGCCATTTCCCCGGGCCCTCAGACAAAGCGCAAAAAGGCGTGAAATTGCCTTTGTGTGATTAAGTCAAAAAAAGGGAGGAGGCGGATGATAAAACCCGGGCTGCTCCTTCAAGCAAATTAAAAACTAAGATCACAATCTTCCCACTAAAGCTTAGACTGGGTAGCTACGTGCTCCTTATGGCTGCCTCTTTTGGCTTTCTTGGCTTTAATTATCCGCGGCAAGATAGCGAATTGTAAATGCTAATTGCTTCAAGTTTGGCCAGGATTCCGGCTTCGTTCCGGAGACAGCAGACACCTTTTCCGTAGAGATTGTGCCGGAGTGGTTGTTGATGTTAATGCGCCGACTGTCTTCCACAAACTTTCTGGTTTGTGTAGTGTTCTCTCCGGAAGGAAACAGATTCTAACTGACTTTGGTTTGTAAACTTTATCAGGGATAGGGTTAAGTACTTTTGTTTTCTTAGAGAAGAATTTCAAACTAAATAGGATTAAATATCTAGATAGAAATATATATCTGATTAGGTTTTATTTTATAAATACAATCGGATTAGGTACTGTTTTAATGAGAGGACTTTCTTATCGTCGTTTGGAATAAATTCCTCTTTTTTTAGATTTTTCTGTCCAGATTGCTGCATCATGCACTTGCCACCACCATTTCGATTTGGATTCTGGGCTTGGAGTGTCCCTGGAGTGCCTGGAGTAAACTAGAACTCGAGTTCCGGATCCAATCAAGTGCTTTTCGCGCATTAAATAAAAATTCGAATTGGATTTCACGTGAGTTTTCTGAACGAACTAGGGCGAGATCCTAATTCCATGAGGGTTGTACGTAGGTCTGATTATGGAGAGCAGCTATCCTGGATATCTGGAGTATTTGGAGGGTTGTTAGCCGCCCTGTTGCTGTTTGTTTAAATACCGAGAATAACATGTGGTTTTTTCAAAGCATATGGCAAGGACTTTGTCACTATTAAGGAGCCGTCTGTCCTCCAGCATTGGCAGTGGCAGCGGCATCGGCATTGGCATCATCCTTCAGCTGGCAAATCCTCCAATTAGACTGTCATTCATTTAAACGGATTAAAAATGCGCGAATGAGGGTCGCACTTTTTGGGCTAACAAGGCCCGAGGGCCAGCTAGATGGTGGTGGATCTGTGGTTGCCTCCGGTTAGTCTTAGTCGGATTAGAAGTCTTGTTTTGGTTACCAAATCGGCTGATGACGTTGTCGATTTTCGAATCAGTATCCTGGATTCAGGCTGCTCGGTGCGTTCAGTCCAATCAGCCCGAGACGCACATTTGCTCGCAATCAAGCCACAAAACAATTTCTGCTGTCATATGCAAAATGCCAACAATGCAGGCTATATCCTGCCATCCTGGCATCCTGGCACCTGGCCTGGTGGGTGGTTTTCACAGGGCGTGTGGGTGGTGCGATGGCAGCAGACTTTATCTAAAATGCTTACGCTTGAGAAGGCTCTCAATCGAATGCCGCATAAATATTTATGTGCCGCCCGACGTGGCAATATTTTCTCCACCGAACAAAACTCGAAAATCGTAAACCCAGTCACAGAAACCGAGCTTGCAACAGTTGCCAAGTGTTGGACTGTGTTTTGGGATAACCATAATGTCAAGAGCTCTTCAAGTGGGCCAGGAACAGGAATCGGAACTTCCACTTTGAGGTACTTTGACTTTCTGAAGGGTTCACGGGCTTACTATACAAAGGAGGTTAAAGATTAGGGTTTATTTTGGTTTAAAATACCTAAAAACTAGACCCTATATATCTTAAAAACCTTCGTCACTTGCAAAAATATTCAAAAGAAAAGGAACTTGCAACATTTGTTGGATTTCTCCTTGTCCTGTCGAGTGGCGGATGTGCAGCGTATGCTCATCGAAGCTGCACAAATGAAGCGACCACCAAGTCACCACCAGACGACACCGTCATTACCACCAGTTGCCAACCCCGGCAGGACTCCGGGACTCTGGATGCTGCACTCACACCCCTCATCCCCGTCGAGTGACCCGCATTTAAAGTTGCTCAATACGTTTTCTGGTGCCATAAATTGTGACCCTGCCTCGGAACCTGTTCCATTGTCTCTGCCTCTGATTTCGAGTCTCCGTCCCAACTGACGGGGCGGAATTGAAATCCGCTTGCGAAATCAGATCTAATCAGGCCGGAATGCAGGGCAGGCAGAGTTCCGATTGCAAGGACGGATTGGAGTCCAACTGTGCCCGGGACAGAGTCTTGGTGAATAAATGATGAAAACTACCCTTTAATAAAGTGTGGACTCGCCCTCCGCTTTTAGTGTTTTCCCGAGCAACAAAAACATACTCGTATAGCCGGGCAAACATCTGTGCGATTTTGTCAATGGTAACAACAAGGACACTCCGAAATCAGCGATCCCCTCGCCCCCTCTCGGCATTTAAAAAGTGTTTAGTTTATGGTCCATTGATGGCTTTGTTAACTTGCCGAATACAGTGCACTCCTCATGAATTCCCAACCCCGAACCTGCCGGGCACACCTTACGTTTTTCGACGTTTACGATCTGTCCGGGGCGGATGGAGGATGGAGGTGGAGGAAGGTCCTTCGCTACACCCTGCGGCCCGTCTGCCTTTAATTATGCTGAAAACCACAAAATGCTGTTAGTGCTGCATTTTTCGATTCCAATTTGGAATAAAGAAGAAAATGCTGACATATGCGTATAAAAATGCGCGACGCCGCGGGATTCTAGTTGGGGGGTTTTCTCTTCCAGTTTCAAGTTCCCAGTACATAGTTCCCCTGGGTGCCTTTCGCTCTTTGACTCTCTGATTGGAACTGGTGCTCTGTGAGATAACATCCCATAGTGTTACCCATATCCCTCCCAGTTCCTCCACCATTTAACCCGACAGACTGACAAGTGAGTCGTAGATCTAATGTGGCATCAGCATATGCTGTTCCCTTCGGCAACAAAAACCATCCAACCGTTCTTCGATCAGTTGCGGTTTTTCGAAAATTCCCAATTGACTTTATTTAAGATAGATCTGTATTTTGGATTTTAGAAAAAGGAGAGATGGCTCTGTATTTGATAAGAAATTTAATGATGTTGGAGGGCATTGAGGGAGAGTTATAATGATATAGATAAGATAATGAATAACATTAGCATAAAAGATCTATAGACACTTTTATAACCTTTTTAAATTCCCTGAAGAGTTTTTACTATAAACTTGAACCTTGTATCTAATACCATCTAATAGTTTTAATAAAATAGATAAAACAGTCAATATTAGCATAATAGGTCTTTAGACCTTTTTTATAAGCCCTTTTTTCTTCAGTGAATTAAATCCATGTATCTATAGCTACCTTATAGAAAAGATTGTTAATAATATCACTGTTATAAATATATAACCCCTTTTCATAAGGGGTTTATTTTCTATTTTTCTATTCCCTGAAGAATTTTTATCAATATATGTAAACCTTGTATCTAAAATTACTTTATAGTTTTTTTAATATGGATAAGATAGTGTTATATATTAGCATAATAGATCTATAGACCCTTCTCATAAGCCTACTTTTTTTGTATTCCCTGAAGAGTGTTTATCAATCAATTGAAATCTTGAATCTTATACCCCCATAAACCCCCAAATCAATTGAAAATTTTTGTGGTTCGAGTGCTCATTGAATTTTCATAACATTAGTTTCTTCGACTGCCAATCCGGCTGCATTATCATATGTAATGATGTCGTTACGCTGATTTCGTTTGCCTCCTCCAGAAGTTCAAACACCTCGAACAAATATTTTACTTTGCTCCGCTCTTGATTTTCAAAATCGAATCTTGAATTAATCATCCGGAATAAATTTACTCTACATTTCCCCACAAAGTCTACCTTAAATTGAAAATAATTGAAAAAGAAAAAGTTCAAGAAGGAAAAGTATAAATGATAACCATTTTTTTTGGCACTCTGTCTCTGATTGCTAATTGAATTAAAATTGCAATTTCATTTGGGATTCGAAGACTCTGGCATATAAATAATATTCCATTTAATTCGAATACGAAACCAAAATTGAATGCGAAAAACGACGAAAATTTATGACATCCAGCCAAGATTTACGGAGAGAGTTCAATAACTTTTGCAGGGTGGATTAGAGCATTTATATTCGATTGTCATGGAAATTTATGAGCTTAGTTCCCATTGTTGTCATTGTGTTGTTCGAGGCCGCTTTTCCAGCTTTGTGCAGATTTTTGCAACATTAGCGCCGCATTATGGCCAGTGTTGCCTCCATTACCCAGGATTCATCCATATGTGCATTCCAAATACTGACATACAGAAAATCCTTCGACTCGTTCTCGGATGTGCAAATGTTTATTCCGCAAATGGACTTTGCCAATTACACTAAATGAGTTTTAAAACTGGGTCACACTTTTCAATTGGGTGCTAAGTGGTCTGGTTGGTGGTTTTCGCATTACATATGTGAGAATTTTAATAGTCCTTCGAGGTCCTCCAGGGAGGGTGGATTGTGGTTAGTTGGGGATTCTTATCAAACTCTAATTTATTTTGGAAAAGACTTCAGGGTCTTGTCTAAACCCCATAAGATATCTACGGTCATGTTTTCCTTATTTTGTTTATTTATTAAATCATTCTTAATACTAAAAAATCCATCTCTAAAATCACTTATCCTCCATGGTGTTGGTAGCCTTCAAGAAGTGTGCCTTAGTGGCCCTTCGGTTGGTTTTTCCATTGGCACTTCTCATGAGATCCTCCACAATCAGAGCTCCTCCGTTTAGTTGCTTGTACTTGGCTTCGATGCGCCTCTCCACAAAGTCTACCACATCCTGGGCCGTTAGGGAGCTTCCTTCTTTAAGGAGCACCGAGGCGGCGGCTTCGTCTCCATTTTCCGCCCTGAAGATGCCAAAGACACAGGCCTCCACCACATCCGGAATCTCGGCAATGACCTTCTCAATGTCACTGGGATAGTACATGTGGTTCTGGTACTTCAACATGTCCTTGATGCGATCCACAATGAAGATATAGCCATCCTGATCCAGATAGCCCAGATCCCCAGTGTGTAGCCACTGCTCGGCATCCCTTACGGTGGCGGACTCTTCGGGATTGCCGTAATATCCTGACCAGTGCTGACCATTATACACGCAGAGTTCCCCCACCTCGTTGGGACCTCGAAGGCTACCATCCTTGCCGAGGACTTTCACCTGGACTCCCGACAAAGGACGTCCCACGGAGTTCGGCTTCCAGTCATAGTTGAAGTTAATACCAATGCTGGCATTAAGCTCTGTGATTCCGTATCCAAAGTGCAGGATATTCTTGCCGATTCGTTGGCGGATGCGTTGCTGCACGTCCAGGGAGCAGTTGGCACCACCGTAGAAGAAGTACTTCAGACTGGAGAGGTCGGCGGACTCGAACTCCTTGCTGTTGCCCAGCTTGGCGGCATGTGGCGAGCTGGCAAAGAACAATGCCACCTTGTACTTTTCAATCAGGTGGCTCACAAAACCCGGATCGAACTCATTATCCGCCACGATACTTGTGGTGCTGAAGGCTCCGGCCATCAGAATCATGATAAGGCCGGAGATCCAGTCCAAAGTGCTATAAGTATACTGGACAGTAGAGCTGGCGATTTTCCTATTTTTAAATAATAATAAATGATTAATTAGGATAAGATATAGAGGCAACTATAATGCTTACACATCGGTGGGAATGATCAGATGGGAGTTGCTGATGGTCACTGCCTTGGGGGTGCCTGTGGTCCCCGATGAGCACAAAATGGCCAGGGTCTGGTCATTTCCCTGCTCCAAGCGAGTGGGCTGGAAGTTATTTTCTATGGGGGTCTCCAGAATAGTTTGGATAGGAATAGATCCTGGCTGGTGGTTCCGCAAGGTGACGATTTTCACGTCCAAACCCACAGTAGCCTTCTTAACTTTCTCGTACTCATCGCCATCACAGAAGACGATCTTTGGGCGGGTCAGGCCGTATAGCTTTTCGATGGTCACCAGTTCATAGGATTTGTGCAAACAGTGGACTTGAGTGCCATTAAAGAAGCATCCATAGGCCACAGCCGCCATGTGGGTGGTGTGCCTGGCCATAAGCCCCACGATATCGTGTTGTCCTATATTTTCACTTCGCAAGTAGCTGGCTACCCGCATGGCATTTAGTTGCAATTCCCTGCGCGTCAAAACTGTTCCTTCAGTGGCCGAGATCTTTGGGGCACATAGACTTGTTAGCTTTCTATTATTCTGATCTATTATTTCTGACTTACCTGAGCAATAAGATCTGGATTGCGTTCCATTTCCTTGAAGATTAGCTCCCCGATAGATAGATCTTTTCCAAATCGGTGCTGCATTGGAGCTCCACTCCAGATCTTGAGTTCAGCATTGTAGTTGCTTTTTAAGGTTACTGACTTTTGAGGGCTGGCAGGATCCTGAACCGCCTGGGTCTTGCTTGTTAGCTGCTGAACCATCTTGACTGAAATAATGCTATTGGTGGCTATTGCCCTCCTTTTATAGGTCAGTCTTTTATGGTATCCTTCGCGCCTTATCGCTCTTTCAACTGTCGAAATGTTATCATCGATTTTGCAATTGCTATTTTGTTGATTGATTATTTTCACTGGAATTAAAAAGTACTCAAAAATTAAATACAAAATATCAATCTGACAAAGAAATTGCGCAAGAAATTAGATGACTTGATGGCGCAATCCCCAAAGGTGTTGGCTTATCGATTGAAAGTGTTATGTCTTGTAGACTACAATGTTGCAAGTCTATGATTAATCTTTTATTTGCCCCTAATCCCCATAAATCCAATCAAATCCGAAATCCATTGACTTGGAGAATACCATTCGAGCTGTAGAAGCATTCTTTATCAATAAGCACTGTTGTTTACAAAGAAAGTTTATCGTTATTTTTGGATCCTCTATTAATTGGTATCATAAACACTATAAATGGAAGTACCTTGACATTTTTTGACATTCATTTAGATAAATTTTATTACCTCATAAATAATAATTGGATCAACTTTTCAGCAATTTTGGCGATAGTTCATATCTTGGATTCCGATTCGAAATAAATTGTACTATTCATACTTGTATCAGTTAAGCAATTTAGTATATATTCGCACCTCAATTTTCCCTTGCAGAAAATTCAAATCAATCATATTTCGATAAAAGTTCTCAAAAATTTACAAGAATTGTTCTCTCAATTTTTGAATATTTGTGACAGAAAAATTGGCATAGCTCGTCAATATATAAAATCCTATTATGTGATACTCTGTGTGTTAAAAATAGTGAAGATATTCACAAAAGTGTATCAATTCTTGTTTGATTTTGGCCAAGCTAAACATTTGCTCAAATTTTTTAAGTTTTGTGATAGAAAAATGTGTATTACTCCGGTAAAAACTTTTCTGTGGGCCCTATAGGGGAAAACCCCATTTTCAAGGGATCCCATCACGAAAAATGGACAAAAAAACTAAAAAATATTTTGTCGCAGGATTTTGATGCAGAATGGTGGAGAATCCATCTAGAAATCGTTTAAGGTATTCCGCTTGAGAATCGGATGAGAATTGGGGAAGATATAGCAATCCCTGTGGACCCCATAGGGGGAAAATCCCATTTTCAAGGGGTCCCTTCACGAAAAATGGACGAAAAATCTAAAAAATATTTTGTCTCTGGATTTTGATGCAAAATGATGGAGAATCGATATAGAAATCGTTTAAGGTACTCCGCTTGAGAATCGGATGAGAATTGGGAAAGATATAGCCATCCCTGTGGGCTCTATAGGAGAAAACCCATTTTCAAGGGATCCCCTCACGAAAAATGGACAAAAAATCAAAAAAATATTTTGTCTCGGGATTTTGATGCAGAATGGTGGAGAATCGATATAGAAATCGTTTAAGGTACTCCGCTTGAGAATCGGATGAGAATTGGGAAAGATATAGCCATCCCTGTGGGCTCTATAGGGGAAAACCCCATTTTCAAGGGATCCCATCACGAAAAATGGACAAAAAAACTAAAAAATATTTTGTCGCAGGATTTTGATGCAGAATGGTGGAGAATCGATATAGAAATCGTTTAAGGTACTCCGCTTGAGAATCGGATGAGAATTGGGAAAGATATAGCCATCCCTGTGGGCTCTATAGGGGAAAACCCCATTTTCAAGGGATCCCATCACGAAAAATGGACAAAAAAACTAAAAAATATTTTGTCGCAGGATTTTGATGCAGAATGGTGGAGAATCGATATAGAAATCGTTTAAGGTACTCCGCTTGAGAATCGGATGAGAATTGGGAAAGATATAGCCATCCCTGTGGGCTCTATAGGGGAAAACCCCATTTTCAAGGGATCCCATCACGAAAAATGGACAAAAAAACTAAAAAATATTTTGTCGCAGGATTTTGATGCAGAATGGTGGAGAATCCATCTAGAAATCGTTTAAGGTATTCCGCTTGAGAATCGGATGAGAATTGGGGAAGATATAGCAATCCCTGTGGACCCCATAGGGGGAAAACCCCATTTTCAAGGGGTCCCTTCACGAAAAATGGACGAAAAATCTAAAAAATATTTTGTCTCTGGATTTTGATGCAAAATGATGGAGAATCGATTTAGAAATCGTTTAAGGTACTCCGCTTGAGAATCGGATGAGAATTGGGAAAGATATAGCCATCCCTGTGGGCTCTATAGGAGAAAACCCATTTTCAAGGGATCCCATCACGAAAAATGGACAAAAAAACTAAAAAATATTTTGTCGCAGGATTTTGATGCAAAATGATGGAGAATCGATATAGAAATCGTTTAAGGTACTCCGCTTGAGAATCGGATGAGAATTGGGAAAGATATAGCCATCCCTGTGGGCTCTATAGGAGAAAACCCATTTTCAAGGGATCCCATCACGAAAAATGGACAAAAAAACTAAAAAATATTTTGTCGCAGGATTTTGATGCAGAATGGTGGAGAAGCAAACTAGAAATCGTTTAAGGTATTCCGCTTGAGAATCGGATGAGAATTGGGGAAGATATAGCAATCCCTGTGGACCCTATAGGGGGAAAACCCCATTTTCAAGGGGTCCCTTCACGAAAAATGGACGAAAAATCTAAAAAATATTTTGTCTCTGGATTTTGATGCAAAATGATGGAGAATCGATATAGAAATCGTTTAAGGTACTCCGCTTGAGAATCGGATGAGAATTGGGAAAGATATAGCCATCCCTGTGGACCCTATAGGGGAAAACCCTCTAAGAGAATGCCAACTTCTACAGTCGCATTATTTTAACTGCTTTATCATCTTTCGTTTTTGTTTCCAAAACAAAGTTTGTATTGACCCGTTATCGGTTGATATCATAAATATTATTTTTAGAATGTGTACAAATTTTGTGCCCATTCAAGTTTTGGAGAAATTCCAATGACACAGTAATATTACTCGCGATAACGTATAACACCCAATCAAATTCAAATTTAGATCGACTTCTGGACTACTTCCGTGATAACTCTTATCTTTGGTCCCCCTTTTCAATGAACTCTACTATTTGTACTACTACTATTTGTATTTATTTTAGTTGAGATTAATTGCCAAGACTGATAACCTTCTTAATAAATTCAGGGCCATAACAAAATACTCAAAAACGTATCGAATCCTTGACAGTTCCACCACCACCCCCAGCCGACCAACAGGATTATTATAATGCGCATCAGTCGCAAGGAGAGAGGATTATGAATAAACCAAGGAAACAAGTGGATTAAGGGGTTGCCCAGTCAGACTGGGGGAATTATTTCTGTTAGCGTTTTGGCTTTTGCGTTTATGATTATGATCACACTCGAAGGACACTCGTCCTTTATTTCTCATCCGCCCAGCAAGAGAAAGTAATAAGTAAAATGTGTTTTTCGGACTTGTCGTTAAACATTGATTTCAGCTGGGCAATGGGTGGTGGGTGGCTTATGGTGGGTGGTATTTAACACCCCCTTTTCAAGTCGACAACATTTGTCATAAGGCCAAGGAGACAGCAGTCTCAACAGTTGTTGGCGATTATCATTTTGACAGTTGCTTCTCGCTATTCGGGTTTGTTTTTGTTTCAGTTCCCTTGGCTGCGTTTTTTTGGACGCCCCTTGATTTATGCATTTTTAAGCGGTTCACTTATTGTTTCTGCGCACAAATATGCCCCTATCTGGGTATCTCGAAGATACTGGATAGTCGGTGAGTGAGGCGATGTCCTTGCGGCGCGTAATTTGTTGATTTATTGCAGGCATCTTCATTAAGCGATGCTCTTCCGGTTCCGGTTTTGGGGAAACAACATAATTCGCTTACCGTTGCAGCGTTCATTATCGTTATCCTTTCTCGGTATTGTCCTTAGCCTCGTTTGTCATGCTCGATGCGTCTGCTTAAGTTTTCGCACGCTCCAACGCTTCAGCATCCTTGGCGTTTCACCAAACATACCACCCACCGCCTACAGCCCACCGCCCACTGCCCACTGTTCACTACTCACCCCCCTCTCCATCCCGCCGTGGCTGTGAAAATTGAATTGAAAACGTGCTGAAGCGTTAAATGCCCTTGTGTCAACTGGAGAAATGCCTGTCTGTCTGTCAGTCGGACTCTCAGCCTTCGTCCTGCGTCCTGGTTCGTGGGTCGTGTGTCCTGTGTGTGTGGCGACATATGAGAATCTGTAACCTCAGCACATGCTGGTTTAACTCTGCCCCAAATTCTGGCCCGGCCAAGTGGCAAGCAGGAGGAGTGGCATAATTAATTCCAAATTGCATTTCCAAAAGGTCGTGGTAAGTTTTCCTCGGCTTAGAGGGATTTTCTGAAAATCTGTTCCTAGAGTTAGAATTAGAAAGACTTAGAGTAAGTTTCATTTTTAGTTTCTTTTTTTTAGCTACTAAGCTTTTAATCGGAGCTATTAAGTAAATAAATCTAAAGTAGATTCCTTTTTTTGAAAAGTCCGCTCAATAGTAGTTCTTTCCGTCACGAAACTCTTACGTTTCGTAACGTTTAGCTGCTTCTACCCAACAACAGATGGCGCTAACTTCATATAGAATGAGATAGAAACCTTGTAATATACGTGTATGATTCCCAGAAGCCATGTAGAGCACAGTTATTAGTGTTGGCAGCAAACGGTAGGTGGCGCTATTAAAAAACGTAAGAATAACGTCGTTATTGCCGTTTTTGATATGATATATATATTCTTGATCTATATCGGTCAAAATTTATAAAAAAATAGGTCCTTATGATGTCCCATCTAATCAAAGTTTTGTATTTATTTATAAGATGATTTTAAGTTACGTTGCAAATAATAATATATTAAAAAGTTTAAAAAAAAAATTCATTTCACTTTATGTTAAATTCTGAGATTCCCTAGCCAAAATATGAAGTAATTTTAAAATAATAATAATTTTAAATATAATATTTAAAAAAATGAGTTTGAAAAATACCAGCTACTTAACTTAAAAGTAAACCTAATATCTACAAACCTTCTTTAAAAA